TCCCCTGAGGCATATGTTAATGCAGGAAGAACAGTGGAATCAAAGAGATGTGCCCGGAGCCGGAGGTTCTTCGTCCTCTTAGCTATTTCTTCGACGTTCTTGAAGGCGTTCCAAGCCGCTCTCTTCCTCCTGCGCAGCTCGGGTGCCAGGTCATTTGTCGTGTTGACCTCTCGACCTCGGTACACATAGCTGTTGCATTCGGAGATGGTCGTTCCATTGAGAGTGAATGGGGCGTCAGGAACGAGGCTGTTTCTCATAAACATTGTCTTCGTAAGATTCAGCTGTAGTCCTACCTTTCCACACTCACGGTCAAAGTCGGCCAGCATTTGTGCCGCTTGGCTGATGTTTGGTGTTATTAAAACAATGTCATCAGCAAAGCGGAGGTGGTGTAGTTGCTGACCATCTATCTTCACTCCCATTCCTTCCCATTCCAGTCGTCGCATGATGTTCTCAAGGGTGGCACTGAAGAGTTTCGGTGAAATGGTATCACCCTGCCGCACCCCTCTCTTGACATCAACGATCACTTCTTTGTAGAATGGTGAGATCCTGGTAGTGAATCCGCAATACAGCTCATGGAGGATCCTGATGTATTGGGCTTGAATGCCCTGATTGGCTAGGGCTTCAATGACCGCTTCCATCCCATCAGAATCAAAGGCCTTCTTTAAATCAATGAACGTTAGACAGAGCGGCATCTTGAACTCCTGAGAAACCTCAATGAGCTTGGTTATCGTGTGGATATGGTCGATGGTGCTGAATCCTTTGCGGAACCCGGCTTGCTCACATGGTTGTCCTTCATCTAGTGTTCTGCCAATCCTATTTAGGATGACTCGAGTGAACAACTTGTAGATGACAGACAATAGGCAGATCGGGCGATAGTTGCCAATGTCATGGAAGTCTCCCTTCTTGAACAGTAGTACGGTCCTGCTGGTTTTCCATTGGGACGGAACCTTGCATTCAGACAGGTAGCGAGTGAAGAGCCGAGCCAGTGTATTGATGAGTACTGACGGCAGGTTCTTCAGGTGTTCAGGTCTGACCTTGTCTGGGCCGGGTGCTGTTTGTTTCTTTACCAACGAAATGGCGTGTCAGATTTCGGAAGGGAGAACGTTGGGAACGACATATCCATCCTGTGGAATTTGGTATATCGGCAAGTGGACACGGCTATCGAAGAGATTTGAGTAGAAGTCATGGATAATCTTCTCCATTGCCGTTCTGGAGGATGTGATGGATCCATCAGGACGTCGGAGGGCAGTCATCTTGGTCTTATAGTTGGCGAAGGACAGGCGGGCGTTACGAATACTTTTCCCGGCTTCTGCCGCATCTACCAGTACTTCTGCTCTTCTCTCTTTGAGGTCTTCCTTGATCGCATCTCTGCACTGCTTTGCGAGCTCGGACGTTAGCTTGCGGTTGCCTGAGGCATGCGCCAAACCACGCTGGCGAATTAGCTCAAGAGTTTTTGAAGACAGGCGTTTTTTTGTGGCTATCTCTCTCTTGGCGTTCCTTGCACATTCATGGAGGTGCTGAACCAGTCGATCGTATTCCTCGTCAATGTTGTCAACAATGGCATCTTCCCATGTTGCCGCAATAGTGCCAAAGAGTTTCCAGTTGGTGGTCGTTCTGGGAGTTCTCTTTTTGAACTTTGCAGCCCTTTCTCCCTGCTCTGTGAAGTAGAATTTTGCACGAAGGAGACGGTGGTCCGATCCCGTTCGAAATTTTGGGACAACAGCGACATCGGTCAGGCAAAACCGTCGATTGAATATGATGTGGTCTATTTCGTTGTGGAATCGTCCACCAGGAGACTCCCATTTTTTAAGAAAATTGACCCCCAAACAAAGCAACAAAAAGTGTGAATTATTTTTGGCACAGGGAGGGGACCAGAGGGAATGCCAGGATCATACATGCAAGGTACGTAGGTCCCCTGCTGCAGAGCTGCACCCTTGATCAAAGGACTTTTGACTTTTCTTAATACTCACTTCAGCACATATAATTCATTTATTCTTTGGAATTACTTAGCTGTTTAACCTACATACAGCTTCTGTCTCTAAAAAGATTCTATATTTTTTATTCAATTAATAAAATAATCTTTGTTTGGTTGGGTTTTGTTCTTGGTGTGACATCCGGTGATGGCTTAGGGCCTACTCCCGGGTCTGCGGCACTCCTGGTGGACTTGGGGAACCATATGGGATGTGGGGGGTGGAACCTGGGCCGTGATGTGCAAGACAAGTTTCCTTCCTGCTGTACTATCACTGCAGTCCCTGAAATAATATTTATTTAATTTTTCACACTTAATGTGGGATGGTGGTAAGAAATGAAGGCAGGAGCTTGGACCCAGGGAGATAGGCCGATGCTAGAGCCACGTGCCTGGCTTGCGCATGGCCCTTAGAGATGTCCAACACTATATAGTTCTCCCAGACCACCACCGTGGCCCCTCAGCTCTGGGCCATTAGGCCTTTACTATTGGTCTCAGCATTACTGAATGGCCCCCGGGGCTCTAAGCACTGCCAGGGGCTTGCCTGTGTTAAGTATAAGGTGAAAGAGGGCCAGGCTCCAAAGAGCTCCGATATTTGTTTTGGGTTCGGTTGGCTGAGTCCCTTTGGGGCTCCAGGGCAGATACTACAGCAGAAGAGTAGTTGAACGGTCTCCCATTCGTGTTCACGTGCCAGTGTTGCCAGCCTCAGAAAGTGCCTGGTGTACCCAAGGAGTAAATACTGACGCTGGCACAGACTCGTCGTTGGTGGATTGCTTCTGGCTTAAATTCTTTCCACTCATGAATACTTTTCACTCAAGAAATGCTTATGTGACTGAGTAGATAGGGGTATAAAATAGGAAAAATCAAACATTTATTGAAAATAAGTCATAAATAATTTTTTGTTATTATTATTAGTCTTGGGTCACATCTGGCAATGCTCAGGACATATCCTCCTGGCTGTACTCAGAAGACAGTATGGCATGCCGGGGATTGAACCTTGATCAGCCACATGCAAGTCAATTCAGGCCCATCAAGAAATATCTCTCTAGCCCCATAAAGAATTTTTGGCAGGGAGATAGTTAAACAGACGTGGCATTTGCCTTGCCTTGAAAAACAAGCTGAAGTATCAGCTTGTACTGCCAGGAGTAATTCTATGTACAAAGGCAGAATAACCCCTGAGCATCGCTGGGTGTGACCCAAAAAGCAAAAAAAAAAAAAAAAAAAAGTTTCTGCATGTCCAAGGAGATGACAGAATTAACTGGAGCACATGTTTTGCATGTGGGCGCCCCAGGTTTGATCCCAGCACCACATGGTCCCTCAGGTACAAGCGCACAGAGTGTGGACACTGGATATTGCAAGTTTTGCACCCTTCCAAAACACCGGGGGCGGGAGGAGGGGGAAGCAAGCAGGGCCAGAGAGTTTAGTGGGTAGGGCACTTCCTTTGCATATGGCTGACCCAGGTTTGATCCCCAGCACCCCATATTGTTTCCCTAGCATCACCAGGAGTGATCCTTGAGCACAGCCAGGAGTGAGTCCTGCGCATCACTCGGTATGGCCCCCAAACAAAATAATATAAAGCAGTTCTTTAAAATTTTGCACTCTTCTTTTTGTTGTTGTTTTTGTGAACGGCCCCCAACTGTGCCCGGATGGCCCAACTTCACACACACCCACACACACAAACACACAGCCTCAGAGTGCTCAGGGCCCACCAGAATAGGGCTGCAGGTAGGGTCCCTGGCTGGGGGGTGCACACCCAGTGATGCTCAGGGGTTACTCCTGACTGTGTTCAGGAGTTACTCCTGGCAAACTCAGAGAACCGTATGGGATGCTGGAGATCGACCCAGGATCAGTCCCGTGCACGGCAAGCACCCTACTGTACTTTCTCTTCAGCCCCCTGAATGGGTACATGTAAACGTGGATCAGGCGTTACCCTCCCATTTTTATTACAAAATGTTGGCTGCGTAAATCATTTTGTAAATAAAAGGCTTTTGGACTTGAACCTAAAGTGAAACAGGTATCGTTTCCATTTCAGAGGGGAAGTATTTACCCAGTTACCAGCAGGCAGCCATCATAATGGCAGTGTGGTAGGTACTAATACTAAGAACCAACACGTAACATGTTCAGTTCACTGTTAATAGGAGGTAAAAAGTGAAAAGTCTTATTATAGTTATTGTTATGTCTTGGAAATTTAACAGAAAATTATTCTGGCTCTTGAAGACCATTTAACAAATACTTGTCAAATGCTAACTCCAGTTATTCTAGACCCTGGAACTGTAACACGGAACACACAGACAGCGTTTTATGCCCTCATGGAGCTCACGTCCTTGGGGGAAGTCAGACACAGGTGACTTCCTTCCCGCTCATCAACCTTGTGCATTAAAACTTCAGATTATAGCTGGGCCGGAATGATAGTACAACGGGTTGGGCATTTGCCTTGCATGCGGCCGACCAAGCTTCGATCTCCAGCATCTCATATGGTCCCCCAAGCACTGCCAGAAGTGATTCCTGAGTGCAGAGCCAGGAGTAACCCCTGAGCATCGCTGGGTGTGACCCAAAAAGCAAAAAACAAACAAAAACAAAACTTCAGATTATATACCTAACAGTATATATGATGTGTCTACATTCTACATGGTAATATTTGATTCAGTGAACCAGAGAGCTAGAAGAGATCTTTGTTTGTTTTCTGTTTTGAAGGTTATGCCCAGAGATTCTAAAGGATTCTCTGAACTTGGGAATCCACCTGTGGTGGCGGTTGGGGTTCCACGCAGTTCCAGAAATCAAGCACAGTGCAGAGCTTGTACCTCAGCGCTTTGAGTCATCTCCTTGGGCCCTTTACGGAGTCATGACTCTGACTTTCAGGCTCAGATTGCTTTGTAGAATCACAGTTTGAAATCTGGGTTAGCTCCTTGGTTCCCATATATACCACAAAGAAATTCGATGCAAATTGAAGACATGAACTGTGTCTCCTGCTGATTTCTACCCAAAGTGCTTTGACCAAAAAAATGTAACCATCTCTGTTGTTTGTCATTTTTAGGGGAGGTGACGCCAGGACTTTCCCAGGTGGAATATGCACTCCGCAGACACAAATTAATGTCCCTGATCCACCAGGAGACACAGGGGCAGAGTGGGACAGACCACACCGTGGTTCTGCTGTCTAACCCTACGTACTACATGAGCAATGACATCCCCTACACCTTCCATCAAGACAACAATTTCTTGTACCTGTGCGGATTCCAAGAGCCTGATAGCATTCTGGTCCTTCAGAGCCTCCCTGGCAAGCAGTTACCAGCACACAAGGCCGTGCTTTTTGTGCCTCGGAGAGACCCCAGTCGAGAACTTTGGGATGGCCCACGGTCTGGAGCTGATGGGGCAATCGCTCTGACGGGCGTGGACGAAGCCTACACCCTGGAAGAGTTTCAGCATCTGATCCCGAGACTGAAAGGTAATCAGTAGGCGCAGCAGTTAAATCATGGGCCTCTGCCGTTGAGATTTTCCCTGCCCACGTAAGCCATGTTCTCAGTTCCCTAAAATGATCCCGATAGTGGCATTTCCCAGAAGATCGGACTGCTTTAGTGATTTCACTTATTCAGTTGCTAACTCTCCAATCAATTCTTTTTTCACAGAGACCGTTGATTGTCTTACTTCTGAAAAAGTACAGAATTTCCTTTTAGAGCAGAAAGTGAGCGTGAGCCAATATAGGGTTACAACCAGACCTTCCTCCACCTCTTGTCTTCATGCTTTTGCCAGCATTTCAGATGGGGTCACATGCTCAAGGATTGATCCCTGTGTCCCCAGCATCAGAATCCCGTGATGATGCGTCCTGGAATGATAAATGCATAAATAAGAGGAATAGAAAATCTTGGGTCTCCTAACAGAATATGCATTTAAATAAGATTCCAAAATGATTCTTCTGCACACTTGTATTTTTACCCCTTGTATGAGTCCCTGTCTCTACGTTTATAAAGTTATGACCACAGTATTTTGCCATTCTTATTCTGTAGTTTCTTAGAACCTGCACTACAATATTATCTCACTTGAATCTCACTCAACCCATTGTTCTGATGCTTTGGACCTTTTTTGTTATTGTTTTCTTGGGGAGGGGGGCAATACCCAGCAGTGCTCAAGACTTCAGTCTCTGCTCAGGGATCACTCCTGGTGGGTGATCATGTGGATTGAACCAGATCCACCACTCACAAGGCAGTTCTCACACCCACTATGCACTGTGATTTGATTTCAAATCACTTCAATTCTAAGCGTTTCTGCTGCGCCCTTTTAGAAAAGCATTGGCTCTCGTTCAAGTCATTCTGATAGTTGGTGTTTCTTGCAATAAGTTACACTTTTTTCTTTTAATTTTTGGCTTCTCCTGTTAAGCCGAGGCGACTACGGTGTGGTATGACTGGATGAGACCGAGTCACGCGCAGCTTCACTCTGGCTACATGCAGCATCTGACTGAGGCCAAGGCCAAGAGCAGGAACAAGGTCCGGGCTGTCCAGCAGCTGATACAGCGCCTCCGGCTCATCAAATCTCCTGCAGAAATCGAGCTAATGCAGATTGCTGGCAAGCTGACATCAGAGGTACGATTCCTACTAAGAAAGTATCTCCCAGGATTCGCCGGCACCTGGGGGTCATGTGCCCGCTGCGGTCATTTTCTAGTTTCCAGCCCCAGGGTTAGTGACCTTGGCTAGAGCCTTTCTCAGTACCTTGCAATGTAAGTCTGTCTGCCTTCTTGTGGCTCTTACCCAGGACTTAGTTATTTCTTCTTTCCTTTTGATAAGGGCAATTCTTTGGACCCTGTCTGAACCCATGGACCCAACATGACAGTGCTTGCAAATCTGCACTTGATTGGAAAGGGTACAGTAGCACAGTAGCTTTTAAGGGAGAATACCAAAGCAGGAAAGAGATAGCGCCTTGACGTAGCCTAGCCCAGCTTGTGTGACTATGGTTCAAACCTTGGCACTGCATAAGTGTCCCTCCCCACCTCCCAATTGCCAGGATGATACCTGAGCACCACTCTGTGTGTGTGTGTGTTTGTACACATATATATCCGAACACACACACACACACACACACACACACATATATCCGTACACATATATATAACCTTGAAGTGGGCTTGCTGAATCAAATGATACTTCTGTTTCGTATTTTGAGGAATTGTCATAGCGCCCAGGCCATTGTATATTCCACTAGCAGTGCACAAGTCTTCCATTTTCTCTGTATCTGTACCCAGCTCTTTCTTTCTGATTTTTGGTTAATGGCCATCCTAATGGTTGCTTACGGGTTTTATTTGCATTTCTCTACTGTTTAATTAGGCTGAGCATCTTTTCATGTCCTTGTTGACCTCACAACACTTGTCACAAGGCCTTGCCCAAAGTTATTGCCATAGGGGCCTAAGAAAGTACAGTAACTAGGGTGCTTGCCCTATTACATGCCGCCAACTCCGATTCAGTTCCCATCCCTACGGTCCTCCAAGCCCTGCAAGGTGTGATCCCTGTGCGCAGCCAGGTGTAAACCCAAAGCAATGCCAGGTGTGGCCCCCCAAGAAAATACAGAAAAGAAATACATTTGGGTTGGAGAGATAGCTAGAGAGACTGAGGTGAATACTTGACGTGCTGGAGACCAGGATTGACCCCTAAGCTCTGCATGGTCCCCCAGCACTGCCAGAAGAAACCACGAAGCGTAGAGCCAGGTACAGTTCGTGAGCACTGTCTAAGGCTGAATCAAAAAAAAAAAGAAGAAGAAGAAATTGACTTGAAGCCACAAAGACTGAGCTCCTGTGCCCGCAGCCGCGCGCAGTACCTGAGCACCAGGAGTGGCCCGGGGACCCAGCTGGCTGTAGCTATGGAGCCCCTTCTAGTGCGGCCTCAAAACCAAGGAAATTGGAGCCGCGGGATTCCCAGCTCTAGATGCCCTGAGTGGTGGTCACTTGTGAACAGACTTCTCCCTGCTCTGTGGCACTCCGTAACCAGCCGAAACACTTCTCCTGACCTCCGGGGTGTGGCCGACCAAGCTCTACTTGGTTCTCTTCCTGTCAGTGACGCAGGCGTCCCAGCTGGCTGTCCTCAGCCTCATGCGATAACAGGGCACAGGACTGTCTATGACACGTAATGGGTAAGGCTGCCATCGTGCTCGTTGTCGGCATGTCCCCAGCACGACGCTTGTCTCGATGACTGTCTCAGGGCTTCTCAGGGAGATTCGAGTCGCCTGTAAAAAGACTCGGACCCGTCGCCCTGTTTGCGCTCCTCACGCAGGGAGCAGGGCAGGCTGCTGCTGGTTTGCCCGGTGTGTGCGGCCTCGCGGGCTCGGGCTGGGTGCTGTTCTCTCCCTTCCCCGCCCGTCCTCGGAGCCCAGCAATTTTAATTTGGGACCATTTCCGGTTTGTAATTTTGAGACCCTGTGTGGACTGTGGACCTACTTTCAGTGCCACCTTGGCGCTGCCTCTCCTTGCTACGGCTTCAGCCTCTGGTGCCCTCCCACCATCCCACCATGGGAGGGTTTCTCTGGGATAGGTGGAATAAGCTATTCTAGCATGACGTCCTCGGCGGCCGCCAGCTGCCTGACTCGGGGTTCACTGTGGGAATTTAAGTGTGCGCAGTGAGGAAATGAGCTGTCCACAGCCGCTTAGTTTTAAGCCCTTATGAGTAAATTGCTAGGAAAGTCTGGAAATCCTTTTTCATAACCTGAGATCCAGAATCAAAGTCAGGTGGGAAGCCCCACTTGGGGTGCTCCAGGTGCTGTGTCATTCCCAGCTGTGTGAGGCCAGAGAGATGGTACATGACGTTTACTTTGCATGTGACCAACCCAGGTTCGCGTCTCTGCATCGCATATGGTCCCGAGTACAGAGTCAGGACTAAGCCCTGAGCATCACTGGGTGTGGCTCAAAATAAAAAGAGAAGACAGGGACATTACTCTTTCGAGTGTCTTCGTCTGGGATGTATCTCAGCGGCAGGGCACTTGCCTTGCACACATGCAGCCCTGGGTTTGATCTCAGCGCTGCAAAAATGAAAATTAGAGAAGCCATAGCTATGGTTCCCTTGCAGGCAGTTAACCCGGTGTTCCATCCCCAGCGCCCACCAGGATTGATCCCTGAACACGGCTAGGAGCTGGGTGTGGCCCCCGAACCGAAAAATAAGTGGAAAATAAAAAATAGAATAGCCCAGTTTCCTTTGGCTGGAGCTCCACCTTCTGGCCAAGGGTGAATGAAAGTCAGCTGAAGGAGGTTGATGCTTGCTTTCTCGTGGGTCAGCCGAGTGTAAGCCACACCTTACCTGCTGAACTCTCTCAGGCCTGAGGGGGTATTTTTTAAATGATTACTTGAGGGGGTGGGCTGGAGCAATAATGCCAGATTTGATCCCGGCACCCCATAGGGTCCCCAGAAGCCATTTCCTAGGCTCTGCAGAGTTAGGGGTAAGCCCTGAGCACAGCTGAGTGTGGCTCCCCACAAACAGTATTTCTTTTAATACTAATTTTTTAAGCAAACAAGCTGTTTCTTACGCTCTCTCCGTTGCAGGCTTTCATAGAGACCATGTCTGCCAGCAAGGCCCCCGTGGGAGAAGGCTTCCTGTACGCCAAGGTGAGCGCCCAGACCCGGACTGGTTTGATGGAGGAAAACTAAAGTTCTTACGTTTTGTTTTGTTTTGTTTTGTTTTCATTTTATTTTTCCCCTTACACCTTACATAAATACTGTGGTTTACAAAATTGTTCATGGCGCTTTGTTACAGACATTTGGTATACCAATACTAACCCCACCACCATTGCACCTCCACCATTATCTCCAGTTTCCCTAGCTACCTTTAAGCCTACCGCCATAGCTGACCCTCAATAATTTATTTTTTTATATTGCTTGTTATAATTTGCTAAAACAATGATCAAAAAATGTTTCCTCAGAAGAAAGTTAGTGAAGATTGTGTATCTCACCACAGAGCTATTAAGACATTACAGGTTGAGCCTTCTGTGTTGATACTTTGTTCATCTTTGTTACATCCCATCCAATCTGGTGTGCTTCCTCCTGGTGTATCAGTGTAACAAGAGTTTGAGCTGTCGCTCCAAGAAATCAAAAATTTTTAATGGTGTTATAGAGCTGAGTTGGAGTTCAACTTTTAATGGGTCTCGGCTTTGGGGTACGTGTGGGACTGCCAGCGTTTCCCGAAATACAGGGAGATGGGGGGAGGTTGCCCATCCCCCACTCAGTGAAAGCCTGGAGATTTCAATCACCAAACCTGAAGTTTCCAGCAAATTAATTTCTGGATGAGGCTCAACCCAAGCAGTGGAGTCCAGCTGGGAGCATGGTGACAGTTGTGGAGTGTGAAGGATTTTGGCTGCTGGGGTTCTGTTTAGGCAGCTGCTGGGCTCAACTGCCCCACTTCCAGGATGCTCCAGATGACTTGGCCTTGCTTGGGGTCCGGAAGAATCTCTGCAACTTGTTGATTTCATTCAAGATTTATTTATGAGTCTCTGGATCATGGCCCGTGAAAAAAGCTTACTTGAAAAAGCCAGAGGTCAGTTTGCGGCAGAAAAATGAGTGGACTATGTGTTAATTGATGGTACCATGCCTCCCCGGGAGGGACGGGGTGCTGCTACCTTCTGCCTTTTTCCCCCTGGGCAGCAAGATGGCGGCCACCTTGTGGCTTTTTGGAAAGCCAGGTATGAGCCGGCAGTGACGGGCAACTGCAACCTCATGGGAAGGGGGGAGGCCGTTCCCGGCTCGTCCTTCACACCCTACCGAGGCCACGAGTTGCCCCCCACGAGCGGCTTTCCGGCATAGTCATGGCTCCAGAGCCACAGAAACCAATCTCGTAATTATCTGGCTCTTGGCAGAGATCCCTCCCAGACTTAATAAGTAAAATATCAGAAATCCAAAATCGTGCGGCCGCAATAGCAGCCGCACGACATCATATGGTTCTCATAACCAGCTGTAGAAAACAAATTATTTCACAATGCCTTTTCAGCAGTTCTGATTGTTGGATGTAAACTTTAAACAATCATAGTGCATTTTTTGTCGAAATAATGAATGTAATCAAAGTAGGAAAAAAAAATAGAAAAAGCCAGAAGCGGTTCCTGGGCGTGACTCATTCTATTGATTTGACTTTAATGAAAGTAACCTGGTTATCAATAGAGAGGACCATGTCTGGTAATTATCAGATGAGTGTAAAATATGCAGACAACAAGTAAATGAAGAACATTACAAAGTAGTGGGACACGGATATACTATGATCAAGGCATTCACTGTGCATGCAGCCAACCCCCGGCTCCATATCTGTCACCACATAGCCCCCCGGGCATTGCCAAGTATATTCCTATAGACCCCCAAGCACTGCCAAGGTGTCCAGGTGATCCCCAGCACCATAGAACACCCGCAACAGCAGTGCCTTCTCTGTCCCATCCATTGAACCCGGTTAGCCAAGAATCACCAGGAATTGCCCTGAGGCCTCCAATACACTCTAAAAACTAAAAGACTGCCGGGTAGAATAGACAAATAAAGATATGATAGGAGAGCGGCTGGAGCGATAGCACAGCGGGAAGGGCGTTTGCCTTTCATGAGGCCAACCCGGGTTCGATTCCCAGCATCCCATATGGTCCCCCAAGCACGGCTGGGAATGATTCCTGAGTGCAGAGGCAAGAGTGACCCCTGTGCATCGCTGGTTGTGACCCAAAAAAAGTGAGAAAAGAATAATTGGGGATTTTTGTTTTATTTTTGGCCCATACCCAGCAGTGCTCAGAGTTTACTCCTGGTTCTGCACTCAAGGATCATTTCTGGCAGGCTCAGGGGACAACAATATGGGATGTTGAACACGGGTCAGCCGCTTGCGGAACAAGCGCCTTATTCACTGTACCATCACTCCAGCCCAAGAATAATTATTTTAGTTTTGGGGCTGTCCCCAGTGCTGCTCAGGTCCCTCTGGCAGTGCTTGGGGACCAAGTGGATGCTAGGGGTACTGCGTGCAAAGCATGCTCTCCAGCCATTTAAGTCCCCGTGCCCAGAGTTTTGAGTTAGTGAAGACAAGATTGTTCATCGTACTATAATGCCCCACATACATACTAGGTTGTCATGGAATTAGTGGAGCTGACTCCTTGCCTGGCCTCCTTTTTCACTTCTTCCAGAACATAGAGGTTGGTTGAAACTTGGAAGGTTGAAATTAGTAACTCAGAACTGTGGTTGGGAATGCAAGCCCTATTCTAGTATGTATCTAAATTAGAATAAACAGTTACTTTACATGACTTTCTCTAGTCTCAGCCTGGACCAAAGGTTTTGTTTTCTGAACTAGAGGCATGAAAATCAGGGCAAAGGTAGAAAGCACTCAGAAGAACAGAACAGATACAATAATGGGATGACAGGACTGGGGTGAGAATAAAAGAAATAAACTGTAGTTACAGCTGGAGCGATAGCACAGCGGTAGGGCGTTCACCTTACAAGCGGCCAACATGGCCGACCCAAGTTCGATTCCTCCGCCCCTCTCGGAGAGCCCGGCAAGCTACCGAGAGTATTCGATATGCCAGACACAGTAACAACAAAGTCTCCAATGGAGACGTTACTGGGCCCGCTCGAGCAAATCGACGATCAACGGGAGGGCCTTTACCTTTACAGCTTTAGAAATTGGGCTGGGGGGGGGGGGGGCTGGAGCAATAGCACAGCGGGTAGGGCATTAAAAGAAATAAACTGTAGTTACAGCTTTAGAATTGGGCTACGGGTGGGGGGGGGGGGGCTGGAGCAATAGCGCAGCGGGTAGGGCATTTGCCTTGCATGCGGCTGACCTAGGTTCGACTCCCAGCATCCCATATGGTCCCCCGAGCACCGCCAGGAGTGATTCCTGAGTGCAAAGCCAGGAGTAACCCCCATGCATCACCGGGTGTGGCCCAAAAAGCAAAAAAAGAAGAAGAAAGAAAGAAATTGGGCTACTGGGGCTGGAGCAGTAGTACAGTGGGTGGGATGCTGGCCCTGCATGCAGCCAGCCCAAGTTTGATCCCTGGCACCACATATGTTCCCCCAGCACCAACAGGAGTGATCCCTTAGCACAGTGCCAAGAGTAAGGCCTGAAGCACTGCTGAGAGTGGTCCCAGAGCCAGAAATGAGGGTGGGGGGTCAGGAGAGAGATTACAGTAGCAGGGCACCTTCCTTGCACGCAGCTGACCTAGTACCCCATATGGTCTCCTGAGCACTGCCAGGAGTGATTCTTGAATGCGGAGCCAGGATTAACTCCTGGCATCACCAGGTATGGCCTTTACAAAGACTGGACTACTGCAGTGGGAAGGTCGGGCATTGGAACACTGGATACATGAAACCCTATTAACAGTATTACAAATCACCGTGCCTGAAACTTTTAGAGTTGTGTTGGACAGCTCGTTCTCCACCGATGTCCGAGATGCCCACTTGGAGGGAGGGCTGGGCCGTTGAGAAGAGCCTGGACTTGAGCAGCCGTGGGCATCCTCTTCCGGTCATGCTGTCCGGCTGATCTAGCTGTTGTGTTTCAGTTCGAGTTTGAGTGCCGGGCCCGAGGCGCAGACATCCTGGCCTACCCGCCCGTGGTTGCTGGAGGGAACCGCTCGAACACTCTGCACTATGTGAAGAACAACCAACTGATCAAGGTATGCAAGTTCCTTCGAGGCTGTGGCCCTGGTTCCAGACACCTTTGGAGAAAAAGCTCTTCGTGGTTCCCTGACCTACAGCTCTCAAAATGGCCACCGTTCATTGGGGCCGGAGTGGTAGTGTAGCGGGATATTGTGTGTTGCACAGAGCCAAATGGGTTCAATTCCTGGCACCCTGTATGACCCCCCAAGCACCGCCAGGAGTCGGCCCTGAGCACTGCTCGTTGTGGCCTTTTTTTTTTTTTAAAGGAAAAAATAGACTCCACTTATAGAGCACTTTATTATTTGATACGTTTTTGCAGACATCACCTCATTTGATTCCTACATTGGCACAGTGGCCTTTGTCAACATGCCTGCTTAGTAGATAAGGACAGTAAACCAGAAAATAGAGCCAGTCTCTTCCTCTAAAAACCTTTGCTCGTTTCATTTTATAAATTCCCCAGGATTTGTGAAAGGTAGGGACCAAACATGTTTGAGAACCAGATATTAAGGCAAAGTTTTACGAAGTTTATTCTTAATTATCTTTGGGGGAGGGGTGAGCAGTGTTTGGGCCACACAGAATGCCTGGGGCCACCCCCAGCAGTGTTCAGGGGACCTGAGGCGCCAGGAGCTGACCCCGCGTGCAGAGCTCTTCCTCTCACCCCTAAAAGTTGTGTTTTGGATTTTTTGGTTTTGTTTTTTTAGGCCACACCAGGCGATGCTTAGGGGTTGCTCCTTGCTCTGCACTCAGGAATTAGTCCTGGTGGGGCTCAGGACAATACGGGGTACCAGGGATCAAACCCCAATCAGCCATGAGCAAGGCAAGCACACTACCCACTATACTATTTCCAGCCCCATGTTTTGGGGTTTTTTGGGGGGGGTGCTGGAAGGGCATGGTTGGGACCACCCAGCAGTGCTAAGGGCTTATTCCTGGCTCTGCACGGGAAAAGCTCCTGGTGGTACCCAGTGACCATATACAGTGTCAGGTTTGTAAAACAGAATACGAGGGAAGCACTTTAATCCCTGGATATATCTCTGGCCCTTGTATTTTAATCTTGTTTGTTTTTCTTTTGTCGTCTACTATTCCTGAACAACCTTTAAAATAAATAAACTAGACAATCTGGTTTTTGAGACAATCTAGCTTGAGAGGGAGATTCAGAGGGTCGGGCATTTGCTTGGCCTGCAGCCCTCCCGAGTTCGATCCCCAGCATTCCATATGGTCCCCCGAGCACCATCACACTATCAGAGTGAGTGACTCCTGTGCGCAGAGCCAGGAGGAAGTCCCGAGCACTGCCGGATATGGCCCAAAAACAAAAAGGGAGAAAAAGAAACAACAACTTCTAGTTCTTCTTTGTGTCCTGTTGTTCCAGGATGGCGAGATGGTGCTGCTGGATGGCGGCTGTGAGTCCTCGTGCTACGTGAGTGACATCACCCGCACCTGGCCTGTCAATGGCAGGTAGGGCTTCCCACGGTACCTTCCTGCTGCATCTTGGTCCAAGCTGGGAAAGGGATATTTTCGGGTTCAAGAAAGAGCAGAGGGGACCAGATCGACAGCACAGCCGGTAGGGCGTTTGCCTTACACACAGCTGACCTGGGTTCGATTCCCAGCATCCCATAGGGTCCCCCGAGCACTGCCAGGAGTAATTCCTGAGTGCATGAGCCAGGAGGAACCCCTGTGCATCGCCGGGTATGGCCCAAAAAGCAAAAAAAGAAAGAACAGAGATTCGGGGCGCTGGCCTTGTCCCATGCCCACCAGCTTATTCCCCTATGATTTTCCTAGTATCACCACTAAGAAATTTCCCCTTGAAGGTCATGAGAAACTATTGAGTTGCTAGTAACCAAGTTATTGACTCATGTCTTGGTTTTTTTTTTTTTCTTTTTTTTTTTCTTTTTCTTTCTGGGTCACACCCAGCAATGCTCAGGGGTTACTCCTACCTCTGCACTCAGGAATTACTCCTGGCGGTGTTTAGGGGACCCTATGGGATGCCGGGGATTGAACCCACATCGGCCACATGCAAGGCAAACGCCCCACCTGCTGTGCTATCGCTCCATCACCTCATGTCTTGGTTCTTGATTTTGGAAAGGGTAGGGGTGAGCTTCACGTCCTGCGGAGGGACACCCCAGCTCCACGGGCTCCGGCACGTCCCATCAGTACTGACACAGGGAACGTGCGGGTTTCAGCTGTGCGCTGGAATCATCACCTCGGGGGGGTTCTGGCCAAACTTAGGAGCCAGCTTCCCACCAAGTGAGCTTACTCAGCATTCAGGCTCTTGCGTCTTCTGCCCAGGTTCACAGCAGCCCAGGCAGAGCTCTACGAAGCCGTGCTCGAGGTCCAGAGGGACTGTCTGACTCTCTGCTCTCCCGGGACAAGCCTGGAGAACGTCTACTCCATGATGCTGACCCTGATCGGACAGAAGCTCCGAGAGCTGGGCGTCCTGAAGGACACGCAGGACGGCGGCGCCTTCAAGGTACCCAACTCCTTTTGATCCCCGTCCTAAGGAGCACGACAGGTGCTGGGCCCTCACCTGTCCCAAGCAGATTGCGTCTAGAATAGAAACGGGCATTGTGATTCTTTCACCTGTGTGAGGGAATTCAGGTAGGACGAGGATTAAAACAAAGGCAGTCAGTACTTTTTCCTTCCAGAAGATGGCGGCACATTCTGATCATTGCTCCCTAACTCTGGCCAGAAAACATAAAATGAGGTCTGCAGCAGGCCCTAGGGAAGGACACAAAGAGGGGAGGTGACATTTCATCCTCCCACCGCAGCGGTGTAAGGGTAGAGGTTGGAGCAGAAAGTGCCTGTCGCCTCGGTGACAGTGTTGAGCGCTACACTCAGGGCTCGATCTTTAGTGAGTGTCACTACACCCACAGTGCCGTGGTGTTGAGGAAGGACAGACAGCCTCGGCTTGACACTCCCCGTAGCACCTCCCACCTAAGGCTGCAGGTTCCTTCAGTACAGGAGAAGCCAGAACTTCGTCCCGCTTAGACCAATAAAGCTGTTTGTTTGTTTTGTTTTTATTTGGGGAACCATACCCGGCAGTACTCGGGTATCACTCCTGGCAGGCTTGTGGTACCATATGGGGTGCTGGGGATCAAACTGGGTTTGCTGCATGCAAGGCAAGTGCGCTCCCCTCTCCTCTACCTCTCCAGACGCCCAGGAGAGCGTGAACGAATGGAAATGCCCAAGCTGACAAGTGCCTACTAGTTGTTCTGGTATTTGATGCTTCGTGCTGACTCCACAGTGGCTGTGAGATGCACAGCCCTGTCCTTCCCTGACAGGAGGTTTTTATTTGCCATGGTTGTTCCTAGGATGTGTGTTAGTGTAGTAAGTGGCAAGGATGGAAGTATGACTTCATTACCGTGACATTGGCAGGATCACGCCCGGGAGGGGGCTTGGTTTATCAGCGGTGGGTTAAAGATGAGTCACGCAGCCATGGGAATGGGAAGAGCTGTATCTCACCAGATTCAACCTGCGCAGATGCCCCTCACCACTCTAATAATGCCAAGGTAACTTTAATCCTAGGCGGCTCGCAGATACTGCCCTCACCATGTGGGCCACTACCTCGGGATGGATGTCCATGACACGCCGGACATTCCCCGGTCTCTGCCACTACAGCCCGGCATGGTGGTCACCGTGGAGCCAGGTAAGGGAACACCGGTGGCCCCTGGTCCCTTGGGGCCATCACGGTGGCCTCAGGGCGAGAATCATCATTTTCACCCAGACTGACCCAAGTAAACTAGGGGAAACAGGATGGTGAAGCCAGTGTTGAAGGGATAGTTTTTTTTTTTTTTTGAGGGAGGCTCGGGGTCCCTTGGAATTTGGGGCCACATCACACACAGCAGTCCTCAGGGCTTACCCCTGCCTCTGCTCAGGGCTCTCTTGCAGTGCTTAGAGGACCGTATGCGCTGCTGGGGATTAAACCCAGCTCTGTCACCCGTTGTTTTCTCTCTCTCTCTCTCTCTCTCTCTCTGAACCCATACCTTTTCATTTATTTATTTATTTATTTATTTATTTTGCTTTTTGGGTCACACCTGGCGATGCACAGGGGTTACTCCTGGCTCTTCACTCAGGAATCACTCCTGGTGGTGCTCAGGGGACCAGATGGGATGCTGGGAATTGAACCCGGGTTGGCCGCGTGCAAGGCAAACGCCCTACCGCTCCAGCCCCAGAACTTCCCTATTTAACATCCCACTGTTTCTGTAATTTGACTTCTCCAATAAACAGCGGGGATTATAAAAGTTTTTGGGGGGAGCCCCAGCACGCACTGTCTGTTTCTCATAACAAGATGGAGCTTCGCTGGTCGACTCCAGTGATCTTCACGCCAGGAAGGCACCGTCTTCCTGCCTTCCTGCCTTCCTGCTTCCTTACCACCAAGAGGGCCAGGAAGAGCAAGGGGAAGGCCGAGCAACACTTTCCTTTTCTGCTTCTCAGGCATTTATATTCCGGAAGATGACAGAGATGCCCCAGAGAAATTCCGTGGCCTGGGTGTACGGATTGAGGACGACGTCGTGGTGACTGAGGACTCGCCTCTCATCCTTTCTGCGGACTGTCCCAAGGAGCTGAACGACATCGAGCAGATCTGCGGCAGGGCCTCTTGACCCTCACCGCAACTCACGTGCGCCTCAGGGTCGAGAGAGGCGCACGCCGTCATCCCTGCCCATGTGCTTGCCGTGTGTCCGTGGACGTATGTGTTCTGCTCGGGAGTGGGATGTCTGTATGAAAGCATGCAGGCATGTATATGGTCCTTATTTTCAATTGGTTGAAATCTGGGAAATTGGTTTTTAAACTGTTATAAAACTATATACTATCATTAATTCTGAAGAATTAATGATCCAGGCAAGTTTAAATTTCAGATGTAAAGAAAGATGTTACTTAACTAATGTCCATGCATTGCAGGTGACACATTTTAAGTGAACAGAAAAGTATCTCCTCTCCAGGTCCTTAGTTTCTGCTTTTGCTTAAATTTATAAGATTTGTGGGACCGGAGCGATAGTACAGTGGGTAGGGTGTTTGCCTTGCACGCGGCTGACTGAGTTCAATCCCCGGCAACCCATATGGTTCCCCAAGCACCGCCAGGAGTAATCCCTGAGTGCAGAGCCAGGAGTAACCCCTGAGGATCACTGGGTGTGGCCGAAAAAGAAAAAAAAATTAGTAAGATTTGTGTGATGCAGTCTGGAGAGATAGTCCTCAGAGAGGGCACTTAGCTGTCCCCCATCTCCAGTACCACATATGGACCCCAGAGTACTTCCAGATGTGGTCCCTGAGCAGAGTCAGGGATGCCCCCTGAGCACCACAGTGTATGGCTCAAGTTCTCACAGAAAGAGAAATTTTGTTATTGAGGAAACCTCTTTATAATTTTTAAGTCACTTGCCTTGCATGTGACAGACCCAGGTTTAAGCCCTGGCACACCACAGTAGGGTCCCTTGGCACTGCCAGGAATGACCCTGAATACACAGTCAGAAGTGAGCCCTAAACACCGCCAACTATGGCTCAAAACCTCCCACTATACCCCTCACCAAAAAAAGAAAAGATTTCATATATTCACGTCTTTTTTTTTTTTTTAATATTTTGGGGCACACATAGTGATGCTCTGGGACTGCTCCTGGCTAGTGCTCATGGGACTATGTAGTGCTGAGAATCAAACCCAGGCCTCTGTGCAGAGATCTCTCTGACCCTTTACATCTCTCTAAACCTGTTTATGAGCCCGACATGTATAAAACGTATTGATTGTTGGTACCTAAAGAAGAGGTTTGTGTTCAGGAAACAGTCTAGGACAGAATTTCTCAGCCAGGAACCACAAGACCCCTTTGAGCCCCAAGCACACGATTAGGGGGGCCCCAGGAAGGACACAAGGCAGGGGGGCCATGGTTGGGAGCAGGTCAAGACTGGGCTAGAAGATGCGCCGGGTTGGCCCTTACAGCAGAGCCAAGAAACTGGCCCAGAGCAGACCAGCAGTGACTGTTGAGAAGGCAGAGATGCTGTGACAAGCCCAGAGGCTGTACCTGTCGTGCCCAGCAGTGGCGCCCCTGGCACTTGACCTTGCTCGCCTCTGAGTCACTCTGGAGCGGCTGACTGCTGCCAGCCTCGCTCCAGCTTCTGAACCCTGAGGTGTAAGCCCACAGCTGGGGCTTCTTGCTCCCGGGGCCTCTGACACGATCACCCTCTCGTGGTTCGGGGCCTTTTTTTCTTTATAGACTGGAAACAAGGACTTCTTTTTCTTCCTCTAAATCTGACTAAAATTTTTCTGGTTTTGTTTAGTTTTGGGAGTAACTGGAGGTTACTCCTGGCTCTGTGCTCAGGAATCACTCCTGACAGGCCTCGGGGGACCATTTGAGATGCCGGGGATCAGACCCAGGTTGGCTGTGCTGGGTGCAAGAGAAGTGTCCTGTTCTGTCACTCCCACCCCTCACCCCTGAATCTCACTAAAAACTTGGAAAAGTTGAACCCAGGACTTAACGTATACAAGGCACGTGTCTTACCGCTGAGCCTTCTCCCTGGGCCCATTAATCCATGCAGCGGTGGGGATCGCACCAGAACCCACCACGCAAAGTTTGTACTTCAGCCCTTTGAGCCACCTCCCCAGCCCCTGAATCTTAATCATAGTACAGACAAGACCCACATTTTCCTCCCTAAGGAGACCAGAGCAATAGTGCACTGGGTAATGCTCTTGCCTTGCACACAGCTGACCCAGGTTCTATTCCCAGTATCCCATATGGTTCCCCAAGTACTGCAAGGAGTGACTCCTGAGTGCCGAGCCAGGAGGAATCCCTGAGACTTCTGGATGCAGCAGCCCACCCTCATCTCCAGACACACACACACACACACATTTTCCTCCCCGAGTCTTAAGTGAAATCAGTATATACATACCAGTCTCTCCTTAATGAAAATTATGATTTGAGAAAGTTTCTTCAGGTGTTCACATGAATTAAATTAATGATTGAATCACTGTTAGTACCATCTAGATGAAGGATGCAGTGAACCTCTGGCCCGTTTGGCAAAAAAATGAACCTCACTTCCCATAATCATGCTATCATGCTATCCACATTAGGAAAGTACTTTTCTGTGGCGACTTGAAATCCTCAGGGTAGGGGCTGGAGAAATAGTACAGCGGATAGGGGGCCTTCCACGCATCTTGCCAGGGTTTGATGCCCACCACCTCATATGGCCCGGCCAGGAGTGATCCCTGAACACAGAAAAACAACAAAAACTTTGAGTGTGCCTCATAATTTTTGTGAAGGTCAGAAAGAAAAAACTGTCGTGAACATTGTATCTTAATTGAGATTAAGATCCAGCCGGTTCATTAAGCTTCCGGATGAAGACTATAAAATAGATGAATTGGGCTTTGTTCTGATTTTTTTTTTTCCTCCAAATCAGCACCTTTCTTCCTGTCAGGAGTTGAAGCCGAGCCCAGCTTGTCCTCTAGCTGTGGCCTCGAGTCCTCTGTAACAGTTTTTGCTCGCTGCTACCATTGGAGCAATGTGAACCTGGGCCAGACCCTGTCACCTCATGGCTGTCATACAGTTGGGGAAGCATTTGATGGCTGTGTGCTTCTCTGTGTTGGAAACCTGGAGCCAGTGCGATAGCACAGCAGGAAGGGCATTTGTCCTCACACAGCTGACCCAGGTTTGATCCCCGGCATCCCAGATGGTCCCCTGAGCACTGCCAGGATTCATGAGTGCAGAGTAATGCCTGCAGAGCCAGGAGTAAGGCCTGAGCATCGGCGGGTGTGACCCAAAAAGACAAAAAAGCACCTTGCTTTTCTAAAAATGTTTTTATGGAGTCGGAGCAGTAGTACAACTAGTAAGTTACTTGCTTTGCACACGTCTGGCCGAGGTTCAATCCCTGGAACCACATATAATCCCCCCAGGCCCCGCCAGGTGTGATCCCTAAGCACAAAGTCAGGAGTAAGCCCTGAGTACCACTGAGTGGAGCAAAAATACATATTTTTATGATGTGGCTAAGATCTTTCAATACAGTTGGTTTTTTTTTTTTTTTTTTTTTTGAGGTAGGATCTAATTGCCTGAAACTTTTACTGATGATGAGTTTTTTAAGCCTGGGCAAATTGAGTTCAAGTGAAGGTATTTAACCCCCCAGGTGCAATGAGAATGTGATCACATCTCTCAACCCTAACGTTAGAGCAGGAGTCTGCAGTTACAGCTGGGGCGTGTCATCAGGATTGAACCCCTCAGGGCCCCTCATGGGGTATGCTGCCCAGGGTCTGAGGCAGCTACAGTCCTTGTTAGCACTTATGTAAAGTAAAATTGTTTAAGGACCGTGAGGAGAGAGGCCAGGAGTGAAAGAACATGGCCTTCTCCCGAGTGGAGTAAGTCACAGGCTCCCCAAAAATGAAAGAAATTCCACATCCCAAGGAGAAAGGCAGGTGGCCCCACGATGCGGATGCATCTCTGTCAGCATTTCTTTGCTTTGCATGACTTTTGCACAGTTTTTAAGGTCAATTTGGACAGAACACTTCCTAAGGCCCTTCCACTGAAAACCAGTGTGTCATTCCCCAATAAGGGAAAAGTATTTGTTACTGTCATTTTAAAATTAAACTATAAAGGTATATGATGTGTGCATATTTTCATTTTTACTTGGAAGAGGGTTCGGGCCACACACCGCAGGGCTTACTCCCGGCAGCGCTTTTGGGACCATACATATTGCTGGGGACCAAACCCAGGTTGGCAAGCACCTTACCTACTATACCATCCAACCTCAATAAATACAGCCTAGCTTTGAAAAGATGTGAAATTTTGACACGTACTGTAATATGGATGGGCCGGAGTGATAGCACAGCAAGTAGGGCATTTGCCTTGCACGCAGCTGACCCTGGTTCGTTTCCTTCGCCCCTCTCGGAGAGCCTGGCAAGCTACCAAGAGTATTCCGCCTGCGTGGCAAAGCCTGGCAAGTCCCTGTGGCGTACTCGATATGCCAGAAACAGGAACAAGAAGTCTCACAATGGAGACGTTACTGGTGCCTGCTTGAGCAAATCGATGAACAATGGAAGGACAGTGCTATAGTGTTACTGTAATATGGATGAACATTTAAGATCTTTTGCTAGGGGACCTAAGTGACAGTACAGCAGGTGGGGTGCTCACCTTGCATGCGACTGACCCGGGTACCATCTCCAGCATCCCATGTAGTTCCCTGAGCGCTCTCAGAAGTGATTCCTAGTGCAGAGCTAGGAGCAACCCTTGAGCATCACCCAAACTCCAAAACCTTAAAAGAGACTCAGCCACACACAAAAGACCAAATATTGTATGATTCCACTTTTAACAGGAGGTACCTAGGCCAGAGCAATAGTACAGTGGGTAAGGCGTTTGCCTTGGATACAGCTGACCTGGGTTTGATCCCTGGCATACCATATGGTCCCCCGAGCACCATCAGGGGGTGTGGAACCGGGAGATGCGGCAATCCCAAGGGAAGGGGCGCCTCCTTAATGCCCTGTGGGAGTGAAAGTCCAGACCCCCTGGGGACCCCTACAACACTGGGGGGTGTGGAACCGGGAGATGCGGCAGGACTGCGGCACGCCCTGGGTGCAATCCCAAGGGCTACATGTGCCCCCAGTGCCACTGGAGTAGAATCAGGGTTACCAAAGCAGCAAGAGGTAGAGGATGGGGAGTCTTAGACTAATAGGAACAGGTTCTGGCTGGGAGGATGAGAACATTCTAGAGATGGATGGGAGTGTCAGATGCACAACAAGAAGTAGTGCCATGGAGTAGCCAAGTATATGTAATGCACGCACACATACACACACACACACACACACACACACATTTTTTTTTTCTTTTTGGGTCACACCAGCAATGCATAGGGTTTACTCCTGGCTCTGCACTCAGGAATTAGACAAGACAGCACAGCCATGCTGAGACACTTGCGGGGCACCTCAAGTGACCCCAAACTTCACGCCCCTGCAGCCCCCCGCGCGAAGGTGGGCAGCCTCACAGCCGGACCCCCGGACTGACCGCATCCCGAGAGGAGACACATGGGGACGCCCCGTGCCTTGAATTTCCTACGCACGCCCAGTGACAAGCCATTCCTTCAGCAGGGAACCTGTTTTTTTTTTTTTTTTTTTTTTGGGGTCACACCTGGTGATGCACAGGGGTTCCTTCTGGCTCTGCACTCAGGAATCACTCCTGGCAATGCTCGGGGAACCCTATGGATGCTGGGAATCGAACCCGGGTCAGCTGTGTGCAAGGCAAACACCCTACCTGCTGTGCTATCACTCCAGCCCCATACACACAAACATTTTGGAGGCCAGGATGATGACTCAGGGCTGAGCCCATGCTTTGCATGCACAAAGACAGGGTTCAGATCTCTGGTACCACAGGGTCTCCCAAGCACTGTGAGGAGCAACCTCCAAGCACAGAGCTTGGGTATGCCCTGAGCTCTGCTGGGCCTGACCTCATATAAGGTAAGGTAAAGGCCCTCCCGTTGATCGTCGATTTGCTCGAGCGGGCCCAGTAACGTCTCCATTGGAGACTTTGTTGTTACTGTGTCTGGCATATCGAATACTCTCGGTAGCTTGCCGGGCTCTCCGAGAGGGGCGGAGGAATCGAACTCGGGTTGGCCATGTTGGCCGCGTGTAAGGCGAACGCCCTACCCGCTGTGCTATCGCTCCAGCCCTCATATAACAAAACAAAAATTAATAGATATTCCAAATAGAAAATGGAGTCTCAAGAATTCATTTCGGGGTGGGGGGGCTGGAGTGATAGCACAGCGGGTAAGGTGTTTGCCTTGACGTGGCCGACCCAGGTTCAATTCCCAGCATCCCATATGGTCCCCCAAGCACCACCAGGACTAATTCCTGAGTGCATGAGTCAGGAGTAACCCCTGTGCATCGCCGGGTGTGACCCAAAAAGAAGAAAAAAAATTCTTTTTATGGACAGAAGGGGGTGCACCCGAAAAAGCAGAGTAAGCCCAGTGCCGGAGCGGGTGCAGAAGGAAATAACGTTTCTGAAGGCCTTGCCTGGGAGTTTCCCCTCTACGCCAACCCTCCCTTCCACTCCTAGAACATCAACTAATCACCAGGTCCCACCCCAGGCCAAGAAACAGCAAGGTAAAGGGAAGGAAATGGGGTCTTGTGATTTTATGGGTGTGCAATTTAATAGTGGCAACGTGTAAAAACCCTCTTCCAACAAAATCCAAAGGCTCCCCCCAGCCCCCAACATGGGAATATGGAAAAGAAAAAGTTTCACAGCGTCCTGTGGAAGAAAATCGAACTTGGAGGAATGAACAGCTATTCCACCCCTTTGCTGCTTGACACTGAGTTGCTAATTGTTGCAATACATTTTCCCAAGGCTTTCTTGCTGAGGTCCCACTGAACCAGAAAAAATTCCTGATTGGTAGTTCCTGCTTCCATCCCTCCTCCACCCCTTTTTGTGTGAAGATCCCTTAGCATCTTAGATATGATTCAGATCCTACTGATCCATTAGGGCAGATTAAATCAAGTCATTGGGAGCAGCCAAAACACTCCCCCCTGGGGAAAGGGAGTTAGTCCTGGGGGCCGGAATTCATGCTTCGTGTCTCCAAGCCCTGGGTTCTATCCCTAAGACCTCATGGTTCCCAGAGCACTGCTGAGAGCAATCCCTGAGCACCAAGCTGGGAACAGCCCCTAGCAATACCGGGTGTAGCCCCCAAATAAGAATACTCCCTTTGGGGTCAGAGCATTAGTACGGCGGGGAGGGTGCTTGCCATGCACAAGTTTGACCCAGGTTCAACCCCAGGCCCTGCCAGGAATGGTCCCTGAGCGCAGAGTAAGAGTATGGCAGATTGTGGCCCTAAAATGTGGCCGGGGTGGGATGGGGGGGGTGGGACATGCCCTGTTAAACCCACATGCCCACTACGCCAATTCTGTGCCTCAGATACAAATGTTCAAAATTGAACAGGGATAGGCTGGAGAGCTAGTACAGTAGTTAAGGTGTAGGAAAAGGCACTTGCCTTGCATATGGCCAACCCAGTTGATCCCCGGTACCACAGAAGAATTCCCAAGTACCAGGAGGGTCACTCCTGGGCACAGAATGACCCCTGAGCAGTGCTGGATGAGGTCAAGCCCCTTCCCCCAATATATTAATGAATAATAAAAATGAACCTGAGGACTGGAGAGAGAGTACAGGTAGGGCACTTGCCTTCCACACAGCTGACCTAGGTTCAACCCCTGGCATCCCATATGGTCCCCTGGAGTACACCACCAGGAGTAATTCCTGAGTGCAGAGCCAGGATGTAACGCCTGAGCAGCATTGGGTGTGACCCAAAACAAAAACAACGTGTATGGACCTGAGAGTTCCACAAACTATGTTCATGGAGCACCACTGGGGGCAACACCTGAGCACTGAGCTAGGAGTGGTTTCACCCACCCCGTTACCACTGGGTGTGGCTCCAAACCAAAAAAAAAAAAATCAATTAAAATGAACATGGAGGTTCTGACTGCCATCTGTAATCATGAAGGAAAAGTAAAAACCAAACACAATCCTCACCTCACTTATCCTTTACTTTGGAATTTTTTGTCTTGGGGCCACACTCTGGAGGGCTGTGGCTAGAGCTTGTTGCTCTCGGCAGTCCTCAGGGATCTGTGTGATCCTGGGAATGAACTCTAGGCTCCCGCTTACAAAGCGTGCTTTTAGGTTGGGCCAAAAATTTCTTTTAAAACTCTCTTTGTTGGAGCTAGAGTCATAGTACAGCGAGGAGAGCGTTTGCCTTGCATGCCACCGACCCTGGTTCAATCCGCATCATCCCATAGGGTCCCCTGAGCACTGTCAGGAGTAATTTCGGAGTGCAGAGTCAGGAGTAAGATCTGAGCATTGCTGGGTGTGATCTAAAAAGCAAAACAAAAACAAGCCAAAAAAAAAAAAACCCACCTCTTTGTTGGGGGCTACTCCTGGCTCTGGACTCGAGGTTACTCCTGGCTGTGCTCAAGGAATAGGTTCAACCTGGGTGGGCTTTGTGCATGGCAAGCATAC